GAATGCATGACTCTCCAGTAAAAGACCTTTATTTGGGGGGAATGATCACATGTTCTGCCTCATGACAGAAGCATAACCAGTCTCTTCAAAGGAACATACAGATATTGGCAAACCTTGTTTAAGAACAGCAGCCATAGCCTGTTAATTCCAGATCTTTCTTGAGAAAGAAAAATCACTTGCTGCTTTTATCAGCCTAAGATGTCAAATGGAGATGACAGGCTTGTATTCATATTGAGAAAATATCTAAAGAAAAGTTCTTCAAAGTTCAAAAGTAGATGTTTGGCCATCATGTAAGTAGAATTTTTTAAACATGGCCTCCAATTTTTAAAACATTTATTTATTTATTGGGGAGGCATGATTACATGCATGGTGTGGTATGGAGTTCAGAGGACAACTTGCAGAAGTTGGTTCTCTCCTTATCATGTGGATCCTGGGGTTGTGAGACTTGGCAGCAAGTGCTTTTACCCACTGAGCTGTCCATGGCTCCCAATTTTTGACCCACTTCCCTTGGAGATGTTGAAGCGTGTATGGCCCTGCCGCTTGCCTAGGCACAGTCTTGTAACTGGCCCAACCAGCAGAGTTCCTAGACCTGATGAGACAGGGCAATAAGTGCAGTGTTTGCCTTATTCACTAGAATCCTCTCGCTTGGAGCCCTGAGCTGCCACAAAACACCAGACTATCCTAAGCGGTCTTGCTTGTAAGGAGAGCAAGTCCCATAAGGCAACAGTGTCTGTCTTTAGCCAGTCCGGGTTGAGGGATAAGACCTGAATCCTCAAGCAGAGGGCAACCATCCCTGTCACATCTAGTCTAAATTCCTGACCAATAAAACCCACGAATACAACAAAATGGTATTTCAACACTTTATTTTAGCTAACATGATAAAAATGCTCACTTCAAAATTCAAAATTTTGGGCTAGGGAGATGGCTCGGTGGTTAAGAGCACTGGCTGCTCTTCCAGAGGAACATGGTTTAGTCCACAGCATCCACATGGTAGCTAACAAGTGTCTATAACTCCAGTTCTAGAGAGGCCTTGTTTGACCTCCACAGGCATTGCATACACAGATGCTCTTACATGCAGACAAAAATACTCATAAAATAAAAATAAACATAAAGAATGTTTGAAAATTAGCATCCAATAATGTTCTTGCCCCCCTCAATACCTTAAAACACAACATAAGTTAAGAAAGCCCTATAAACATGTAAAATTCTCTGAACTAAGCAAACTTACTGTGTCTACCACCTGATATACAAGGGTGCAACTTTGTGATTTATCTCTAAGACAATAAAGTTAAAGAATTACCACTCTGAAAGGCAGAATTTTTTTGAAAAACAGAGCTTCTGTGATTTATAGACTTCAAGTTGGGCATATAGAATTACACAGATCTCGGCATCATTTAGCTCAACAGAAATGTGTAGATTTAAGATCACAGACTATCCTCCCACACATACTTTTTTTCCTGTTTTACTATCCGGCTACCAGTTGTCACTGAAATCAACAAGTTTTGTAAGGATTTATTTCATTATTTGTTTATATGTTCATATGCATGAAAGCACCCACAGGAGCCAGAAGAGGGAGTCAAATCCTGGAGCTGGAGTCACAGGCAGCTGTGAGCCACCTGACCTGGGCGCTGGGAACTGAACTCAGGTCCTTAACAAGAGCAGCAAACGCTCCTATCTCTCCAGCCCCTAACAATTATTTTTAAGTTATACAGCAGTATTTTCCTTCCTGTCTTTCTTTTTTCTTTTTCTTTCTCTGTCTGTCTTTTTTTAGTCAGAGTCTCACTGTGCAGCCCTGGCTGGCCTGGAACTTACTATGTAGATCAAGTTGGCCTAGGACTCACAGAGATCAGCCTGCCTCTGCCTCCCAAGTGCTGGGATTAAAAGCACATACCAATATACCTGACCTAATTTTCTTTTACTATAGGTAACTGAAACATAAGCGAAACTTCAGAAATATTTTCAAGTGCTTTGGAAAAATTCAGAAATGTATTTCCAACCAATTTCTCAAGTTACTGTTCACAAAATAGAATTACAAATACTAAAGAGGATGATTAGTAATGCGAAAGCACACTTTGGTCAGTGGTACATAGTGAGTGACCCATCTCTGAAAAGCTTGGGACCACACAAGCATACTGCAGATTTTGTCTACCTCTGTGTAGACATTTTACCTATTAAACATCCCTAACCATAAAATCTAGAATACTTCAGAATCTGAAACTTTTCTTTCAGAACAATTTTTATTTATGTTTATGTGTGTGTCTGTGTGTCTTGTGTGGTTGCAGGTGTCTCTGGAGGCCAGGAGGAGGACAAGCTGGAATTACAGGTAGTTGGAAGCCGCCTAATGTGGGTACTGGGAACTGAACTTGGATCCTCTGGAAGAGCAGCACACACTCTTAATCTCTGAGCCATCTCTCCCACCCCCAGAATCTGAAACTTTTTAAAAACTATCTTTCAATGTTTTCCAGGGCTGGAGAGATGGCTCAGAGGTTAAGAGCACTTGCTCTTACAGAGGACCTGGTTCAGTTCCCAGCACCCATATGCAGCTCATAATGTTCATAACTCCAGTTCTAGAGGACCCAATGCCCTTTTCTGGCCTCCTTAGGCACCAGACATGCATGTTGAATTTATGCATACACACATGCAGGTAAAAATACTCATATGCAAAAAATTAAATCTTTAAAAATAAGCTGGGATGGTGGCCCATGCCTTTAATCTCAGCTCCTGGGATACAGAGGCAGGCATCAGATCTCTGTGAATTCCAAGCTAGCAAGGTATACATAGAGAGATCCAGGCTAGCCAGGGCTGTATAGTGAGATCCAGGCTCCAGTGTATGGGACATCTGAGGACACAAATTAGACTCTATAGGCCATATATATATATAATTATACTGTATGAAATATATAATAGACTACATTAAATTGGGCAGGGGGGCAATAGGGAAGAGGATTTAAACACCATCAAATTGTACTGTATGAAAGGCACAAAAATAAACTATAAAGGGAAAAAAACGCTTTAGACTTTGGGATGAAATCTGTTTTCTGGTTTTCGGTTTTCGTTGTTCAGACAGGGTCACCCGTAGGCCCAGCTGACCTAGAATGTGCTATGTAGGCCAGGCTGGCCTCAGTCTCACAGAGATCCACCTGCCTCTGTCTCCACAGTACTGGGATTAAAGGGGTGTGCCACCATCTTGGAAAGATTTTTGATTTAGGGACTTTAGGTGTTTGTTGGGGATGCTGAACCAACATTAGTATTTCTTCGTGAATTTATTTTATATTAGGTATTGGTTTCTCCTTCTTATTACACTTTATTCTGTGGAGGGAGCATGTTCATGCCATGTCCCCCATGTGGACGTCAGACTTGTGGGAGTGTTTTCTTCTATCATGGATCAAACTCTGGTAGTCAGGCTTGGCGGCAAGTGCTTTTACCTGATGAGTCAGCTTGCCAGCCCTTAATTTCTTATTGTGCATCTTGGAGGTCTATAATAATTGGCAAGTGACTAAGTGGATCTAGGATAACAATTTCCACTGGCAGAACTAAGAGCCAGTATCACCATATGGAGAGCCTGCAGAGTGGTAATGTAGTCTGACATATATAATTTCACAGAATGAAGTTCATAGTACTCTATCACTGAATAAAGACTGAACCTGTGACTATTTTTGTTGTTGTTTTGAGACAAGGTCTCCCTATACCCCCAGCTGGTCTGGAACTCACTAGGTAGAACAGGCTGGCCTCAATTTCAAGAGATACCTGCCTCTGTGTCCTGAGTGCTGGGATTAAAGGTGTGTACCACCATATATACCACTCCCTTGATTACTTCTGGGGCCGCTAAAGCTACAGATTTATTTAAATCACCCAAGGAAACACATCACAGACATATGTATAGGGATTATCAGAAATGTGTATAACTACAACTATGCTATTTGGAACTGAGTTTTGTAACATTTCAAGCATCTGTTTATATGGATGGGTTTTTGCCTGTTTCCAATTCTAAGTGTCTTACCACATGTTTCCCACTTCCCATTCCAACCTATCCCACCATGGCCATACTGGCCATTGTTTTGTACTGGATTCCTATACTAGGTCTCAACAGAACAGATTAAAAATAAAAATGGGATTATTCAGATTAATGTTTCATGTCCCCAAACTCAAATTAGGTTGTTATCTGGCCTTCTCCAAATATCAGGAATATGTCCCTGACAGTCCAGTTTCAATAGACATGAGAGAGCCAGGTGCCTTTAGTTCCAGCACTCGGGAGGCAGAGGCAGGTGGATCTCTGTCAGATCATGGTCAGCCTGGTGTGCACAGCAACTTCCAGGTCAGCTGGGGCTACAGGGAAACCCTGCCTCAAAAAGACTAAAATAAATATAAATAAATAAATAAATAAATAAATAAATAAATAAATAAATAAATAAATAAATAAATGGAGGAGGAAGACCAAAGAGAAAGAGAGCAGGTAGGCAACAGCCACCCAGAAAACATATTCACGCTGGCCATGATATTGGCTTGAGAGTAGTGGCTTTAATTCCATCTCACAATCTTTTCGCCCATTTCGTCTATCTGTAAAATTACACGAAGCCTTTGGACATTTTAAGTTTAAATTCACATTTTATTTCTAATATTCTTTGGTTTCCATTCGGGCTTTAAACAACACACAAAACAAACTAAAAACTCCAGCTGCTTCTCATGCCCAGCCTCTCAAGGATAATCCAAATGAAAATTAAATTTAAAATTACATTACTCTCCAGCCTGGCCACGTGCGGCTCCTCTGAGCCTTCATACACAGAGCAGCTATAAATAACTCAAGCTCTCATATAATAAACCCAAACGACATCTTTTGCAGTTGCTTCCTTTCGACAGAACCCCAGCTTGGAAGGCGATGCACTATGGTAAGGCGCGTCTTTCCACACCTATTAAGCCTTGAGGACTCCTGAGGTTGGAGGAAATCTCGGAAGATTTTACACTGAAGAGCCTTGGGACCAAGGTCGGGGAAGAGGACTAACCTGGGCATCCGCACCGCCCCACGCGCCAAGCGCTCCGACTACAACCGACCTCAGCTGTTGACGTCACAGGAGGCTGGCGCTGCAGGGGACTGGATGGCGACGTCACTGGCGCGCACGCGTAGAAGGCAAGTTAGACCAGGCTACTGGACGGGTGGCGAAGGGAGCCGCTCGGACGGGCCTAGAGGGAGGCTTCCGGAAGCCGCTCTTCCGGTGTCACCCCACCCCACTGCACCCCCGCTGCGCGCCCGGCTTCCCTGAAATGACGAGGTCGGCGCCCTCCTCCCGCTGGGCCCCGCGCGTGCGCAAAAGCACGCACCCTTTCCTAGCTGGGAGCCGGGGCCAGGCTCACCTGTCTACCGGGTGGCCGCATATTGTCAGCGAGTGGCTGTAGGGGTGGCCAGCCTGCGCGGTTCCTTCCCGCTTACTGCGGATCTCGAGCTTTCCTGGGGCCTATGAGGGGTCGTGGTGGCCGAGGTGTTGGCGGAGTCCCTTCGGATTGGAAACGCTGTGATCAAAGTCGTCTTAATCAAGTTCCCTTGGCCCTGAACAAACTTCGTAGAGGGTTCTTATCGAGAAGATAAAGCGCAAATGATGTCATGGCCTTGGCATTTTTAAAAGGTCCTAAAGTTTTGAAGTTATGGAGAGCCTAGACAGCGTTCTATGAGCTCCTTTAAGCCCATGTTGGGATTTCAGTGTCCACAGATCCCAAGCAACACACTAGATAGGAAATCTCAACACTGTCTAAAAGCTAATGTCTAGGTATCTAAACTTTTTTAAGTTTAAAGCCGAGCCGGTCCTTCCACATCAAAACTGATATAAACAGTCCGTATAATGCCTACGATTATCTTCTAATTTTGTATTCTAAAAATTCATTGTAAGCTAGTCTCATATGTAAGTCCAAAACAGTAATCCAGCCCACGGATCCCTGTTACCCACTGTAACTAGTGAGTAAATTGGTTGTTTTTGAGAATTCGACTATATGAAAATAGTATATAAAAGCACTTCTATATATGCCCCCCTGTATTCAACTGTAAGGAAGGCATATATAAATTGTTTCCTGGTTGGTAAAAGGTAAAATCGTGTTTTCCAATGGTTTTAAGGTGTGGCAGACTAGCAACATTGGGTTATGGAGAATGTGCGTGATTGGCACTATAAAGAAACCACCACCACCATCACTACCGCCAAACAAACTTGCCTCCAGTGAGGTCAGCATTACACAGTACTTAAGTTCCAATAAAATTCCCTGTCAAGTGTCTTTTGATGTGTTTTAAGAGTCTGTTCCTTTCGTTACAAAATATCCTTTTCATTGTACTATGATGTCACAATTGTACTGGGGCCAGCATTGTAATAGAATAGAACCTTTGCTGTCACAGAACGGGATAGGGAACCAGGAAAAACAATGCTCCAATTTGACCTTCGATGCACTATTTGTTGGTCAGTGCTCACCACTTTGTTCTTACTTAGTGGTGGGCATTACAGTTAGCACTCACTAGAGATTTGTTGAAAAGATTATATTTACAAAATTCCACTCAGGGCCATTTTTCTTCTTTGAAACAATGTTGCAATATTTATTATTAAGAATACTTGTAGCCAGCCAGCCAGTCCTGGTGGCACACACCTTTAATCCAACACTAGAGGTAAAGGCAAGCAGATCTCTGTGAGATCAAGGTGAGCCTGGTCTACATAGTTCCAGGCCAGCTGGAGCTACAGGGCTGGACCCTGTCTCAGAAACACCAAAAAAACAAAAAAAAAAAAAACGAAAAAGACGAATGCTTAGGCTAGTGAGATTGCTCAGCAGGTAGAGGCTTTTGGTAGTAAGCCTGTGTACCTAAGTTTGGTCTCTGGGAACCACAAGGAGGGAACCCATGTCCCACAAGTTGTCCTCTAACCTCCACTCTCACACCATGGCATTTACACATGTTCACTGAGGTGCAAGCCCACACACCCACACAATTTTTTTTTAAATGCTATGCAGGGGCTGGAGAGATGGCTCAGCAGTTAAGAGCACTGGCTGCTCTTGCAGAGGACTGGGGTTCAATTCCCAGCACCCACATGGTGGCTAACAACCATCCATAACTCCAGTTCCAGGGGATCCAACACCCTCTTCTGACCTCTATGGGCACTGTACACACATTGTGTGCCTAACATACATGCAGGCATTATACACATACACATAAAATAAATAATATTTTTTAAATGCTATGTAATCGCAAAGAATAATGTCATAGTCGTTGTTAATTTTGAGAATGTAAATGTATCAGGCTGGCTCATCAACATAGTTCCTCAGTTAAAAGTGCTTGTGGCACAGGCCTGCCTGAAGACCTGAGTGCCAGTCTCAGAAACGAACAGTGTAGAACTGATGGACTCCCCAAAGTTGTACTCTAACCACCACACACTTGCTATGAACATGACTCCCTGCTCCACATCACACACAATACAATTCACAAATTTTGAATTTAAAAAGAAATGCAAAGATGCCTTTACAATGGACAAATCTAGAAACATCACCTCCACCAAATGATCAAAGTTAAATCCTTACGAAAATGGACAGGATCTGGGCAGACGGCCCTTGAAGCATGGAGAAAGGCATGTCATCTTTGGGGTTTTCCTGGGAAAATGTTTAAATCTGAGGAAAAAAACAAATCCAACTGAGGAACTAGTACAGTTGAGCTACAGTCATGAAAAATATAACCAAAATAACACAAAAAAACTAGGGAACTCTTCTAAAGAGATGTGACACATAGGGAATTTAAGGAGTTCGTTTATTCCTGGTTTTGTTGTTTAAATCTTCAAAAGGGATAATGTGAAATCTTCAAAGGGGCTAATGTGTTCTTTAGACTCTGAGTTCTCTGAGAAAACTAAAACATAAGGAACTTCAAAAACTCTGTTACTCCTCAGTTTCTTTAGCGAACTTCTGCTTGTGTTGAATATTTATTAGAAATAGGAAATACAGGCCAGCAAGATAATTCAGCAGGTAAGGCATTTGTTGCATAGGCCTGACAACCTGAGTTCAAGTCCAAGAACCCTTTAAAAGTAAAAGGAGAGGGCTGGAGAGATGGCTTAGCAGTTAAGAACACTGGTTGTTCTTGCAGAAGACCCAGGTTCAAATCCCAGCACCCACATGGCAGCTAACAACTGCCCATAACTCCAGACCCAGGGGATACGACAGCCTCTTCTGAGCTCCTCAGGCATTGCGCAACATGGATGCACTTACCTACATGCAGGCAATACATACATATGCATAAAATAAAAATAATAAATTAAAAAATAATAGTAGAGACCACCAGAGAGTGCCGAGTTCTGGCTTCCCTCTGGCCTCCATCTAGCAGAGGGCCCGGGAACCCAGGGGACTGCCTGAGAGCCCCCAGATCCTGCCTCCACATGGTGAAGCCTTCGCAACATGGATGCACTTACCTACATGCAGGCAATACATACATATGCATAAAATAAAAATAATAAATTAAAAAATAATAGTAGAGACCACCAGAGAGTGCCGAGTTCTGGCTTCCCTCTGGCCTCCATCTAGCAGAGGGCCCGGGAACCCAGGGGACTGCCTGAGAGCCCCCAGATCCTGCCTCCACATGGTGAAGCCTTCGAGAGGGAACTGACACTGATTCTAACCACTCCAACATCTATCAAAATACCTGAAAGCAAATCCTAAATCCATCACTCTAGAGTCCAGCCTTACAAGACAAAAGAACAATGAGGAAGAACCCAATAGGGGGATGCTTTTGGAAGCCCTTGTCAAGAAATTCCAATGGACTCGCATATGAACATTTGAACTTTGCCCTGTTCTGACTTTTTTTCTGGTTCCCTGTCTTAATGCTAATTACTCTTGGCTTTATTTCTCCTTCACATCTCCTATTCACGATTCAAGGACTTTCTTTTCCCCTTAGAGACAAGAGTTAGGCAATTTGGGAGTCTTTTAGATAGACCCACTGAAGGGGTACTCCAATTGCCTTACCCTGCATGCGTGTTCAGCATGGAAGAAGCCAGAGTGGTCTGCATCCCTATTCCCTATTGGCAATTTGGGTAACCCCTTCAGAGGATGGCATGATGAGAAGAGGAGGTAGGAATTGGCTATGCAGTTAGGGTAAAAAGACCCCAAAGAAAAGTAGCTAGTTTCTGGGCTAAAAGTCAAAATGTCCTTCAGACTGTTAGCAACATACTCTGTTCCAAGGCCAAAAATGTCGAAAGTATTTGGGAACTTGTATCTAATCCTTAAAAGATTTTAAGGTTACCTCTTGAGAGGGGGGAATGTTAAGAGTACCCAAAAGCCCCATAAAAATAAATAAATGAAAGAAGAATAAAAAGGAAGATAAAAATGATGGGGCAATATGGGAGGTGTTGGAAGGGAGGGAGTGGGTATAGATTTGATCAAAACACCTTATATGCATGTATGAAATCCTCAAGAAAGCTTTTGTAAAAGTTAAGGGAAAAAAATAAAGTGAAAGGAGAAAACCAACTGCACAAAGTTGTCCTCTGACAGCCTCATAAATGCCCACATATCTCACACACAAACACGTACACACACACACACACACACACACACACACACACACAATTTAAAAATAGGAAACACTACCGACAGGGGTCAAAATAAAATAACGCAATCCCTAAAAGGAAAATGGAATTTTTAAATGTCATTTTCAGAAACTTGCTCAGTGTTTCTGATTTTTTTGTTTTTTTGTTTTCCAGGGCCATTTCCAAGCCTCCTCTGTTGTTCCATAGACCACAACCATATGCTGGATATTTACCAAATGGTCTTTATAGCTGATGTAGTGGCATATGACTATAATCCCAGCATCTGAGAAACTGAGACAGGAGGACACCAGTTTGAGATCAGCAGGGACTGCACAGCATGGCACTGATGGAAAAAAATTAAAATGAGTTACAACTATAAATATCTATCCTTTGCATCTCAGAAGCATCTCTCAGAGGACTGAGAAACATCCTCAAGAACACTACCATCAAAAGATCAAGACTATTGTTTCTAAGATTCCACGGGAGGGTAGAATCCTAACTTTGCTGAGAACCAGCCATCGCACTCATCTGGCCTAGTCTTATGTATCCTAACTAAGCCTTCATGCTTCTCTTTAGC